TGCCCTTGAGTGCCTCGCTTGGACAACAGTCCAAACCACTGCCAATTAGACGGAATATATGAAGCGACTTCCTGCTTTTATTCGACGCGTCGCATGTTTTGGATAAAAACACGTGACCGTGTCGGACGTGATTTTTGTGGGCGAATCAGAAGAAAGAAAACGGAATATGAACTTGCTTTCTTCGAAAATCCTTCAGGCTCTTGATCAAGTGAGCTCACTTCAGGGAAGAAAAAATCACATCTGATTCCATCCAGGATGGGTGTTCTGTCTGGAACTATTCCTGAATTGGCAGTAGCACTGCATGTGCACTTCGCATTTTTGCACTTTGTTGAATTTTACAGAAGTTCAGTATAGCCAGTAAAAACAGTGGAAGCTACAAGGAAATGGCTTGGAAGGCTCTCAGGTTGTAACAGCTTGGAGATACATGTGAGATAGTCTCAAGATGCTTGCAAGTTGGATATCAAATGTACTCAAAATATAATTACTAAGGAGTGCAAAAATACACTGATAAGTCTGCTAATAATCACAATTACAGTATACAGATGGTCTTAAGTCTGCCAGGTGGTGTGCCACTAGAAATGATCAATATTAATGCTCAGATGCATCAGACCCTACTCCCACGGTCTGCTCGGCCGAGAGGTGCCAACGAGCATGGCCATTGGCGCGACACGATACGCGGCGCTTCTTGATTAATGAAATAGCTGCACAGCAACCCTAATATGGGGTTATTGCTCTTAATATCATTTCGAATTATCAAATTTTGTGGACAAGCATAGAAATTTGATAGATTTCAACTCTCACAACAACTCGAAGGAGGGACGACAGCACGATGGCCAGTGCAACCGATAAAAATGGTGAGTAATAGCGATCCCTGGCTTCTGTACCGCTATGCTTCTCGCCTTTTAGCTAGCTAGCTCTCGTTGCATCGTTGTTGGTTCTCGCCACCCGCCCGTGCCTATATGACGAACGACCTGCTAACAGTCCACACGTGTGTGCCGTGTACTCATCTAGCTTTTCTTTATATTTAAACAGCCCGCTATGGCGAACGCCACCACTCTTCGCGTCATGATGGGACCGAACGTGACTATGGTAGACATCGTGAAGGCGACCGGGACAGGGATCGCGAGAGGGACAGGGAGCGGTACGAGTCTCGCCGCCACGGTGATCGCGAGAGGGACCGCGAACCCAGGGACAGAGATCGTGAGCGCCACGGGGACAGAGATCGCCATGCTGGCCGTGGTGGACGGGGGGAGTTTGACGAGTACGCCCCTCGACGGACTCGCCACGATGATGATCGCCGTCGGGAGCACAGGGGTCCTGAAGAAGCCGGGATGGGGCCTACTGGAGGCTACCGTGGCCGACGCGATGAAGGAGAAGGAGGCGATAGGAGAGGCAGAGGCAGGCACCGCGATGGATTAGGCACCCCAGAAAGGAGGTCACCCACGCCTCCCGACGCTACACCTTTGTTACAAAGGAAAAGGAAGGCGAGTGGCTGGGATGTACACGCTCCTGGTTATGAACAATATACTGCGATGCAGGCGAAACAAACAGGTATGAGAAACGACAGCTCAGTGGAACATTACTAACGAGATTCGCTACAGGCTTGTTCAATCTTCCAGGTGCTAACCGAACGCAGATTCCGCCCATCTTAGCCATCCCGGGGTTACCGCCCCCAATGCCCGTGCAAAGCTTTGGAATGGGTATAGGCGGGAATCCCAACCTTTCCAGGCAGTCTAGGCGACTATACATTGGCAGCATCACGCCGGATATTAACGAACAGAATCTTGCTGACTTCTTCAATTCGAAGATGAAGGAAATGAGCATTGGTACAGGTGGCCCCGGTAATCCGGTGCTCGCAGTTCAATGCAACTACGAGAAAAATTATGCATTCGTCGAGGTTTGTTTTTTTTTCTTCAAAACATCAGTTTACACGGACATGAAACATCGTTTTCTACAGTTCCGTAGCGCGGAGGATGCGACTGCCGCCATGGCATTCGACGGCATTATTTTCATCAATGGTCCGTTGAAGATCCGACGCCCCAAGGATTATGGTGGTATGGATTCGATAGCGCCCAGCATGCATGTGCCGGGTGTTGTCTCCACGAATGTGCCTGATTCTATCAATAAAATTTTCGTCGGCGGTCTTCCGACGTATCTCAATGAGGAGCAAGTCATGGAGCTACTGAAGAGTTTTGGTGATTTGAAGGCTTTTAACCTGGTGCGCGAGAACGGGAATGGTCCCTCGAAGGTAAGCTACTCTATGAGAGAGGGTTGTATGACGGATTTGATATTTATTTACTGTCTATCTAGGGCTTCGCATTCTTTGAATATGTAGACCCAGGTGTTACAGATGTTGCCATTCAATCACTGAGCGGAATGGAGTTGGGCGACAAATTCCTCGTCGTCCAGCGTGCGTCTGTTGGTGCCAAACCTGGCCAGCCGCCCATTCCTGGTCTGTATGATCAGGTGGAGATCCCGCGACCAATTCTCCCTGCGGGGGATGTGGAAGGGACAGACGCACGAATTTTGCTCATGCTCAACATGGTCGTTCCGGAGGACCTCACAGACGATCAGGAATATGCGGACGTATACGAAGATGTCAAAGAGGAGTGCTCAAAGTACGGTCTTGTCGAGGACCTGCGCATCCCGCGACCAGTCAAGCGTGACAAGGCGAAGTGGGGCGAAGGCGGTCATGAGAGCGCTATCACTGCACAGCGGATTGACGAGGCGGCTGGTGTCGGCCGCGTTTACGTGAAGTTTACAGAATCGTACAGCGCAGCCCAAGCTTTGAAAGCTCTTGCAGGGCGGAGCTTTGCTGGACGCAGTATAATCGCAACGCTGCTATCAGAGGACAGCCAGACGACGCCTCCGCTGAACTTGGTTTTTGCTCCTCAGCCTGAGGCACCTCCCCCACTGCCCCAAGATTAATCGTGGCTATGTGGCAGCGATGCGCTAGGCGAAGGTCACTTATCGTGCTTTGTGATATGTGCTTGTATGTATTGGTGGTGTACCAGCTTTCTTCAGTATCCCCCCAGCTTCCTCTGAATATATAATTTTTGTGCGTTTCTGTAGTCATTGATGCTACTGGGCAATCCAATAGCAACCACTGCCCCGGGACATACGTATTCCTAGTGCTCAATCGTAGAACGAGAATTTGAAAAAGGCTACGCCAGATGACTATCTCTGCCAAGTCGCTTTCGTCCCACAGAACGCAAAACACGCGCGGTCAAAATATAAATAAGAGAAATGATTGTGATAGTACAGACCTGGCCTCATGATCAGTCTGGCTGAGACTATGTTCTATGCTACCGCAGGCCGTCTTTGAGCCGCCACACTCCCGATCACCGGCTTTCTGTCCATACTAGCGGCTCTCCCACCTTCAAGTTTTAACTGATGACCTTGTGACCCTTCACAATCAGACGTGCTCCACTGCTCAAGCTATTGCTCATGTCTGAGTGCTCACGAGTTCAAGCGGGATAATGCTAATACCAGTGATATTCCATCAGCAAAACTTGAGCCACAATATATACAATGGTATGTATTGGCAATAAGGCCAGACGTCAGGAAAACACACCTTTTGCTTTTTTGCTTTTTTGTGCTTTTTGTGCTTTTGAGTTTTTATGTACATCTTAAAATGAATTTTATAATACATATACAACATTACTTTTTTTGTGAAAAAAGCATAAAAAGCACAAAAAAAGCGCAAAAAAAGCAAAAGGTATGTTTTCCTGATGAGGGATGTCTGCCTTGAGTCTCATGCTAACCGATTGAACAGGGAGCAAAGGTGACAGGAAACCCTGAGCCTTATTCATTCAAGTTAATCCCCCTTGGTAAGAGTAGTCAATGGCGCGCTGTACCGATCCATACAATATCGCATATTAAACCGTTTTGCCGCGTAGGGTCCTGACTCCGGAGATGAAATGACCCCTCTTCCGCAGCCTTTATACATGAAGTAAAAATCCGAAAATCGTTGGATCGAGTCACTGTTCACGGAGAACACATGCAACTTTTCGAAAAATTTAAAGTAGATTTTTTGAACTCATTTCCAACAAGACTCTTCCTACCAGGAAATCGAACATAATTATCATGAAGTGACAAATACACTTCATCTAGAACCGTGCAAGATTATGAATGTGGTACATACTTTTTGCATTCTAGATCGCTGGAACTTAGATATAATGTAAGGGTAGCCTGGCGTGTTAAAGGAGTGTAGGACGACTTGTGATATAAAGTTACTTCAAAATACGAACGTTGTTATATCACAGAAATATGCGCCTAGTCTCGGTAAACTAGGATACAAGAACCAGGAGTTGAATCGAAAGGTACATCCCAGCGTGTAGCGTATTCTCTTTGGCGAGTTGACTAAAAAGGTCGTAGAATGGCGATCCAAAAATCCGACTTCCGTTGCCCCAGCAGAGGCAGGTCACCCGGGAAGAAGCAGCATGCTAATTTCGTACGCATCGCAGCCGAGTAAAATCAGACGGGCATGCTGAGCTCGCTCGAGAGACGTTTGACAGGTTGCCCCATGTCATCCTCTTTGTGCACTATGCGCGTGATGTCGACCGCAACAGGGCGCATGATGTATGAGTTCTCGCCGTTTCTACGGGAGAACGCAGTGCTATGTGCAGAGACGGACGTTGTCGCGCCTGCCTTCTGTGCCCAACCAAGCGCGACGCGGACGTTGATCATCATAAATGCAATGCCTCCAATTTGACATAGAGTGTCGACGAAGGTGTACTGTAAGTTTGAAGTGGCTTCGTAAAAGGCGAAAAAGAAAACGACATAAATCCTGTGTGATTGGCGTCAGAATTGATCGTACAAGACAGTGCTAAAGTAGCACACACGTGTAAAGGCCGGCACTCTCAACGACTGTAACGAGAAGTCGCTGTTTAAGTATCAGTGAGAGGGAAACGCAAGCAGTGTTAACAATATGACTGACTCTCAAGTTACCGCCACCGTACGGTCCGGACGCTTGGCTAGCCCTCCAGACTCGCCACGCAATTAACGCTGAAACCGATTCAATAAACGCTCATAAGCAAGCAGTATTTGAACAACTTACTAGAGCTGTAAATGTTTGTGCTATTCAAGAGCCAAAGAGGTCAGCAATATCACAACAAATAGGGAAGACGAATGTGACATACGCGAAAGTAAAAGAATAATCCGCAGTGATCCAGCGAGCCGCTTGGCTCACAAATACTGTATTACCAATAGAGAGCTGAGATAGCTCATATACGATGCCAGTTCCAGACACTGACGAGATGTTGAAAATTTATGACTTTTTGCGACGAAGTACGTGTACTCACCGCATAGTCCCAGCACCGTTAAAGATGGGAGCACGATAATGTAATAATTGTAGCCCCAGACCACCCACAGACGGTATACCTTGAGAAACCAAGATTTGAGTCCTGGACTCCATGAATCCAAGCAAGACTGCTGCTACTCACGAACATCAAATCAGACATGACGATCGTTGCGATGAGGAATGCAGTCTTAATGACCTCCGTTGTTTGCGCGAGATCTGAGTAGAACAGCGTCGGAGCGGCTCCGCCCTCGAAGTTTATAAAAGCATCAAAGAAACGAGTGACGGTGAGGATCCAATGCTGTGTGTGATCCGTCCTCAACGATCGACTTGATCGACTTGAGACTGGGGGCAATCGCTCACCGCAGAGACGGTCATGGACACGCCGAGTGCACCAAGGAAAGCAAGACTGAAGTATGCCTGGGATCGAGAGGGCCCCGCGAGCGCAACGTTGGTTACACGCTGATGATGGAGGTAGAAGTAAGTCCCAGAGAGGATGAGGAAGACTCCGTAAAGCAAGCTCTCGAGGGCGACCGTTACCATGTTGGCGGCGACGATGTTGACCTGCTTCATGGTGGCCTAGGAAGCTGGAGGGAAACTGGACACTGCGCGCCTTGGGGCTGCTGAATCCTCTCTCGAGCAGAGTCACGAACTTGTAAAGTCGGCTGTTGTCGGTGGGAGGCGCCATCATGGTTAGCTGTATATATACATGGGTAGCGCACGGGGCTGTCAGAAGCTCAAAGAAGGGTGGAGTGCCACTAGGCTCATCGCTTAATCCTGAAAAACGCATTGCTATGGTAAGGATTTGAATGCACGGGGACGGGACCGGTAGCGAAATCTTCCATGCTGGACTGATCATACCTTATTGTTGAAAAGATCAATCTCATCTCTGGGAAATTGATGCTGTTAAATCCGGGACCGAATACGCAAGGAGCATCGGGCGTACTTGTATATGGTTTCATCAAACCATTGGCCTGCAACATGTCAATTGTTTGACTCAATGGAGCTCAGCGCTGGAGGTGTCGAGACCAGCGACAATAAATACAATGAAAGCATGTACGACTGTCCTTGTGCGATCCGTGTGAGAACTACCATACAGTGGCGTGGCTAGGCGCCGAACGTTGAACGATCATGCGGGCAAGGCGTCACGCAGCAATGTCGCAACCAGGCGCTACGAGCTGCCGGGCATCGTACCTAAACACAACGTTCGAGACATGGTAGGTTATGGTCCCTGTCCCTGAAAAGTACCGATAAAAAGAGAACAGCTCCAGAGCTAGCCTCTAGTAGATACAAAGCACTTAATGCGCTGCCGTCTAGACATACGTGTCACAGAAGTACTACGTAGCTTTGTAGCCTGTCCTCAAGAGCTTGCGGTGGCAAAGCGAATCAACGAGCATGATGCATTGCAAGCGAGTTTCTTGATATAGTGGCCGGAGAGCATATCAAATGAGGCACCGTACGCTCTACTGCAAGGGCTCCTTTGCGATGCGCGCGCGCATGCCGTCAGTCAGCGAACTTTCTGCCAACGCCGACATGATGAACGCTCGGCCTCTTTGTCGATACTAGTACTTTATTGAGCGCCATCATGCCTTGGGATCAAAGCGTTTCATAACCCTTAGCACAAATGTGTATGGAGCATCTTCTCTATCTCAAGATGACGCTTCGGGCTGTCAATGCAATTCACTAATCCTTCGTATGTCAGCGATTGCATTGAGATCCAGAGAGCCTTTCAGAACTCACGAATCGACATCTATGGCCGTGGAAGCGAGTCGCATGGGTGAGTACTAGTCGAAGAAGTCGAATTGGCCTTGTCGTACCATATGATGATCCATTCAACAGCATCAAGGGGCTACAGTATATGACAGTCACTAGTAGGAGTTTTTAGTAGCCAATACAGATTACCCAGATCGCCTAGAACACGTTGTGGTGACTGCAATGGCATATGGTTGGCATGGCATGACTTGACAAATACTTCTATCGGATAAACCGCTGCGGTATCGATTCAGGCACAAGGTCACCACTATTTGCATTTCCAGATCTAAGTACTTGCGTCAGCGGAACAAAATCTGAGCGTATGGTAAGTATTAACCAAACAATACTACGAGGTGGGACCAGCTTACCGTACGAGTTCAATGGGCCCCATTGTGACCATGTATTCTAAGCAGGGCCGCCAAGAAGTAACACAAGCTCCGCCATAAAATGGCCAAGAGCGCAGCATGGGACAAAATATCTGCAATAAGTCTGCTAAGGAGAAATAGATCCTGGACAGCAACTGAATCGACCACTATAGGGCCGACGTAGAGGACATCCCATAGAGTCCGCTTGATCTCGGCCGTGGTACATACCTGCACGCGTGCATTGTTTCAAAATCTCAGAGTCCACGCTCCAATCGTACATTCACTCGAAACGAAGTCGAATCGATCTAAGTTCGGGAGGCGATGGTGAAGTGGAATATTAGGATACTCACCATTATTCCTGTCACCATGACAGAAACAATGGTGAGTGTCCTAATATTATTCAAAGCAAACCAGTGATCTCGTGTTTCTGGCGGCTTGGAAATCTCGTAGAAGTGGCATGGGAGCCGTCACCAGAATGTAAAGACTGTATGGGATAGAGGTGTGAAGAATGCTGCAGAGTACAGTATGCAGGGTGCTTACACCCTCGGGGGGGGGGGGGGGAA